TAAGTCATCTGTAACTGTTATAGTAACCAAAATTGATGGATATGGACGTCTAAGATGTTGCTACAGTTATGTTGGTGTTCGCCGGTGATGAATACAAGTCTACAAGGTTGTAAATCGGTTGAGCGAATTATTGATAGGTTCTTCACTTCAATTTTTTTAAGTGGTAAGTCTTCAAACGAGCCTGTGGATTACCTGATGGTAAGTAATCAGCTCCGCCAACTCCGGCTGAACATCCGCAACAACGGAGGAGTTAAGAGTGCATTGCTGACCTTTTGGGGATCAGGGTTTTGGAGATTTAGGGATTGGGACATGGGAAGGCTTAGGCCTCGGGTAACCTCACTCACATAGCGAAACACAACGCTGTGGTTGTTACACGCCGGTTTTTTTGTAAGGCCGTGGTATCACTCCGGTCGAGCCGACCCAAATGATTCTCTATCAAACCAGGGTTGCAAGTGTGTGCGCAATGATATGCTGCGATATCAATAATGGAGTAGGAGAGGGAACAGGGCAGTTTTTAGTCAGTTAGAGTCGGATACTCGGTCTCGCTCCAATCAGGGCGGGATAAGTAGGTAGGTACTTGGATGATTTTTCAACAACAAGTTATGTTGATGGTCTGGATTGGGATCTGGATTGAGCTAAGTTTAGTATCCGGGTGTTATAAGTATATACACAAAACCCCGTATTTGTACCATGTTCTAATTATGCAGGTAGTTAATACAAGTCTTTTCTAAAGCTACCCTAAAACTCTAAGATCTCTTCAACTAACCATTTGATGCTGGGAAATCAACTGTGAAAAGTGTCACAGGACTAATACCCGTGCATGATTATCACCATATCTACGCGTATTTCAAATACACACTTTTATGCTCAGTGTAGTTATTTGTATGCTTGTAATTATCATTTCCACGACACATTTTTATACCATTCTCAAAAACAATATCAAATCTATCATAGTCAACTCAATCGATCAAGATTGCAAGATTTTCAATTAAAGCCGCACAAATTGACTTTGTGAGAAGCTACCTAAGTCTAATTTTACCACTTCAGACAACAACTGTACCCTCAGTAAATTCTTAAACACGTCAGCGATCGATCATAACATTTAATTGGATCAAGAGGGCACAGGAAACACCTCAGATGTTTTATGAGCAATTTTTATAATAATTCACACTATACGTCTGAAGTATGCAATACTCACCTACCACGAAATTAGTTAAGCATATGAATGGCGTAGGATGGCTATTTTTGCGTAACTGGGTTACGTGGAACGAGATCTGTAACAGTGTATTTTATAATTAACTAATAAGTAGTTTATGAGGTGTATAGGTTTTTTATAACAATAGCTTCTAAATAGTTTTCTGTAACTAGGTACCTACAGTAAAAGATAGTCACATACGATCGAGAGCTAAATAATGTAATGATTTTCTCATATAAAAAAATGGTTCAGGTTATGGTGAAGTATGATACAAATTACGCTGTCTTTTTTTCTTCTCACGGCCTTCTGATGTCCCTAAAAAGACAGTCTACTGCAATTGGAAACATAAATGAATTTTACAAGCACATGAAGTGGACTCCCACAATAGGAAGGTAGGAGAAAAACTCATTAGTGAATCGTGAAGTACTGACTGTGTCAGAAACTCGAAGATAAAATGATGGACGACATTCTTACAATGAGTCCTGTTTATGTTTCATATTACCGTACACAATGTCTTTGATCCTTTTGTTCGTTTTTCTTTCTTAGGTACTTAGGTAGTACCTTTATCTTTTTTGATAAAAAATATTGTTTTTTTTCCGTTGGTGTTCGTGAGTGGTGACATGAAGAGCCGGATGGATTCTGGGCCTTTCTCAGTTCAGGGATAACAATATTTAATTATCTCTGTCATTTATGGCCTTTTTTTGTGAGGGGAAAATCATTAAATGACTTTTACCGGCCAGGGCCGGGCGTGAGAACTCATGTAGTGTCAGACTCTTACTGACTAAAAACGCCCCTGTTCCTTCTCCTGCTATGGGCCGAGGTCGCGGTGCCTAACACAGAACATTACATCCCGTTCTATATTTAGCTACCACAGAATCTACATTTACGATATACCATAAAACACGATGACAACAATGTAACCGAATTTCAATCAATAAGTTTATTAACCTGACTTCAAAGACCGCGATTCACTTGTCTATTTATTTATTTAGAATCTCGCGTTGTAGTTTATTTTTAATTCCTTGTGATCTTTTAATTTATACGTTCGGTAATGTAATGAAGGTGTTGACGGGTAGTGCATTCGTTTGTTAGGTATGTGTATCAGCTGTTATTTAAATAAGTTTTTGAGTAGAGAAGTAGGAAAAAAGTAAGGAAAACGAAGGAGTTTGATGAATTAGTAAAAACCGCCCGTCCCTTCTCTTGATCCGAGCAGGGATTGCGATACATTATTGCGCTGGTAACCCCGGCTAGACATCGGCCCCAGTGGGGTCATCTGTGATAGTCTGATGGTGGCTAAATAGCTGGCAGATAAAATTGCATTTTTAGGTTTATTATTCAAAAGTTAGTCCTTCTATTAAACGGTCGGTTGCTAGTGATTTAATATTTTTGAGGGTCCCAGACCTAAAGGGTAAAAACGGGAACCCTATGAATAAGACTCTGCTCTTTTTCGGCAAACAAGCTCTATGAACCTTACCTCATGAACACTGGAGAGTTAAAAATTGTGGGGAATGTGGAATGCTACATTAATACAGTACACGGTTGACGCGGTGGCTGGGCAACTGGCTGCCTCGCAATGTTCGCGTATTCGATTCCCGCTCGGAACAACTCTTTGTATGATCTACAAATTGTTATTCTGGCTCTTGGTATGATTTGCAGGCGAATTTGTATGCTAGTAGAAGAAGAAAGAAAGAAGAAGAGAAGTATGCTTTGGTATATGCCCACCCCTAAATAATTCAATCCTTCATTTGAACAATGGACAAACTGTTATTTGTTTATCGGTTGAACAAAATTCTTATGACGTAAAGGATCATAATAAGGTGGGTGGACCGTGGAAGGCCATGCTCCTTTGAAGGCCGATTATAAAAAACTCATATTTATAGTCACGTGATGACAAATTCCTTCCACTCACACGAAGTTCCATCAAACTCAAAGTCACAGACGCGGCGGCGAGTCGCTCGCGTTGCTATTTTGCCAGTGAGGTCTCTCGCTTTGTAGACTTCGGACGTCGACGTCAAAATTGTAATTCGCGCGCTCAGCTAAAGGTGAGTTTTTATGTAAATAACCTATTATTATCGTATTATTTTTACTGTAAGTTGTTATATTAGGATTTTTTGTGGTACTAAAGAAAAAATATAACAATTTTGTTTGATTTTAGTTAAAATATCAATAGTGTTCCTATGAAAGCCGGTGGTTCCTTATAAGGCCAATCAAAAATTTGACGGTTGGCCTTGCTAGGGTACACGGGCCTTACCAGGAACATTTACTAATAAAATTTGAACACTTAGTTTTTACTTATTATAATAATACGCTACGGGGAAGTTGAAGCAATGTTAAATTATTATAATTTTATTATTTATAAGGATTATTCAACTTTATAATTTAGACTAAATAGTTATTTCTTTAAAATTATTCAATTACAGTTATATCTTTAAATTTCCTTTATGAGATGGTCATGTCTGTACCTAAATGTCGCTATAAGAATAAGTCGATAATTGAACAGTTGTTTAAATTTTACACGCATTATTTCAGATTACAAGAATGTCAGGATCAAAACCTAGAAAAAGGGGTAGTACATGGGATGAAGATAGTTTAAGACGTGCCATGGAAGCAGTACAAAACAAAAGAAAACAGGAAGCAAAAGATTAATAGATAAGAGAGGTGCAGAAGGTGAAGAAAAGGAATGGTACTGCCACGCATGTGGCGAGTGTAGAATCGAAGTCATGAGGCAATGCAGCGAATGTCAAAAGTGGTATCACGAGGAGTGTGTTGGTCTCACTAAAAAAGATCTCGCATTTTTATGCTCAGATTGTGATTAAAATACCCAAAGTTGTTACTTTTTTTTAGTTGATAAGTTTGATTCCGAATTTTAGTTATTACTTTCTTATATTTTCGTTTTTTAATTTTAGGTATGGTTGAGTTGAAATATTTTGACTACAAGCATGATTATGTGCCATTTATACATTCTTTATAATTAGAGAAAATAGTCTTTACCTACTGTCTATCAGGTATTTCATTAAATATAAAAAAGGATCTCATAAGATGATAATTGTTAGTTTGGCCTTCTTAAGAACATTTTGGCCTTACAAAGAACGGACCCATAAGAAGGCCATTACGGGTTTAAAAAAATATTAATTATTTTATTGTAAAACGCATTGGAAACTTATTTGTTATCGATATAATACTCACCACTATAATTTTTATTTAATTTCCATAAATATATTCTTAGTTATACGATGATGTTCAAGGAATGTTTGTTGAGTTTTTTAAAGAAAATTATAATATGTCAGGCGTTTAATTTTTCATTTAAATTAAAGAGCTTTATCTGTAGTTTTAGTAAAAGCGAATATTTTGATTATTTCAATTCTAGTTTTAAGTTGAACGACTGATTTATAATATTGGCCTTGTATGGAGCCTTGTTCCTTCCGTTTAGAAGAGCTTTATAAAAGTTAAGTTTAAGAAAAAGTGATTACATCTAGAATAAAAATAAGTATTTTTTATGATACTCAATAAAACAAAGTGTTAATTAATGATTACTTTCTTTTATTTATCCAGTAAATTAACAAATAAAATCTGTTTATTCGTTAGAGTGGCCTTACATGGTCCACCCACCTTAATTATATTTCTGTAATAAAATTATTGCACACAGTTTTCATAAACCCAAATAGAGGGTGAAATAAAAAGTTTACTGTACTTATAGTGTTGTAAGAGGAAGCGGCTGTTAATAAAACACTTATACCTAAATAAAAATATATCTTTATATTTATGCTTAAATTACTAATAATGTTTTTACAAAGTATTCATAACATTATAATGGTAGTTTATTTACTAGTTTGTTGCTTATAAACGTGTATTTGGTGACGTGATACTTTAATTCTTCAGCTATTGTAGTTACTTCTGCCACCTCTTCTGTAGGAGGATCTGAAAATAAAAGGAAGGGAACGTCAAGATCTAATAAAAATTTACATACCTGCCAAGATCAAAAACATCTTTCCTTGTCAAACCCGCGACGCGTTGCATAGTAGTTGGTTGCTCAACAGGTTATATGCAATCAATAAATAGGTAATCATCATCTATACTAATATAACAAGGCTAGAAAGTTTGTTAGTTGGAGCGCTAATCTTATGTACAGTTTGAAATTGAATAATTATTTTTGTGTTCCTTAGTCTATTTATCGAGAAAGGCAGGCTATAAAACATCAAGCTAGAAGCTACCATCAAAAGACCCGAGAAGCGAGTAAAACCGCGCTAGGTAGTGATAGATTTTTTTAATAACATAAATGACTTTATTATTACAGTACATTCATAATTATATGCATGTTATGTACATAGTTATTAGGCAATCAAGTTTACAATCTACACAATAACAGAAAATCAAAACTTAACCTCAATAGCGCCATCTATTGAGCAACGTCGTACAATGCGTAGCCTGCATACTCTAATGGAGGAAACCCTTGTATAATGGGGAAGGTGAACTTACACACTTGCCGGTGTTAAGATTAACCGATTAAAGATTAAAGGGGCGCTAGTGAGAACTTAGTGATATTTCCTAATTGAGGCTCTACAATTTTTTTTACCTGACTTCTAAGCAACAGTTTTATTTATTCAATCACGGTACACGGATAACATAACTTATGACGATCGACAAATTTATGATGTTCAGCGCTGTAATTGGCTAGTTCAAAGTTACCCGACCAATCAGAGGGCTAAACTTGGTAACGTTTAAATCGCATTAACGAAATGGAAACAAAGCAAAGAATAGTATCTACTCGTAACACTACTTAAATACTTTTTTATTAATAATGCAAGTATGCTTACCTATACTCTGCCAAACAGAAGGTGGGAAAACAGGTTGCTGGGAGAACACGTAGACCATCTTCGATTCCCTTTGTATGCCTTTGTTTGCTGCATTTTCTTTCTTTGTCATTTCAACTCGATACCAGAAGGCCGGCTTCCTAGTGTACCAAAAAATATACAAAAAAAATTAGTTTCCCTTTTGGAGGGATGACAGAACAGGGAGTAAAGTTAGCTGGTGGGCTACTGCCCAACTGTTGTTGTTGAGATTTTGTGCCTATTGTAATTGTGATTGTATTAATTCTATGTGATTAGTGCTGTTACTACATGTATGGTAGATGTCGCTACGCCCTAAGCGATAGGTGGAAACTCTCCCAGATCCTATTCGCCAGTCTTGTTATTTTAAAAGAGGTAGCAGACAAGAGTTGTAAGGAACTCAAAAATGTGTTGCAAACGGTTGATTTTCAAATGACCGCAAATGCAATTGTTGAGTAAGTGACTCAGTGTTTTTTAGTTTTGACTACGGATGGTAAGCAATCCATTGTAATTCCAACGGTTGCAGGAGTTGCTCAAAGGCTCTTGGGATTTGGGGATTAACGATTATCTGATAACCTCAATCACACGGCAAAACACCAGGCAAGCATTGCTTCTGTACGGCCGTGGTATAACTCCAGATAAGCTGGCCCATCGTACCTATGAATTATTTAGTATGAATGTTGTTAAGTACTTACTTTAAATGGTCCTGCACGATATTATTAGCGATAGGCATACTAATTTTCTGTATTGGATCGCTCATCAACTGCCCCACAGTTCTTATTGGCGACTTGTCTGACACATAGTGTTCTAACAGTCTGGACGCTATAGGTTTTAGACTGGCTGAAATATAGAATTCAGTATATTGTAGGCTTCTTAAGGTGGTAACTAATGAACTTTACTATCGCCTACATATCTTAGACCTTAAAACATTCAAGAGAAACTTACAACACAACACTCTCTCACTCACAACAAACAATCATCATCATCATCATCATCATCAGCCTATATGCCCACTGCTAAGCAAAGGGAGAAGGTTCTCACACGGAGAAGGTTTGAGCATTAATCACCACGCCTGCTTTATGCGGGTTGGCGATTTCTAACTTATGATTAGAAATTAGAAGTCCAGGTTCCGTCACGATGTTTACCTTCACCATATGTCAGTGGTGTCCAAATAATTATAGAAAGTACGTATAACTCGGAAAAAGTCACATTGGTATTTGTCAGGTTTCTAACCCACACCCTCATGCATGAGAAGCGGGCGCCTGAACCTCAAGGCCACCACGACCTTGTTCTCTAAGTATACATTTCCATTGGCGATTCTGTTCGCTTACCAAAATATATTAATGCTATAAAATAAAGTCTTACCGAAGTCAGCTCTTAGGCAGCTCTCGGCGCGATGTAGATGTTCTAAACATACATGGACTTGCGCGAATTTCATTAACAAATTCTTCCACGGACTTATGTCGATTTCATCAGTGATTAATGGTACCTATAACAAAAAAAAATCTTTTGTTAAGCACCAAAATGTAGTTATAAGAACAAGTACGTAGTCTAATCAGAAAGTATTTAGTAGATTTTCGATGGCACATGGTAACCGCTTAACGGTATACGCAGTTCCAACCAAAATCCAATAAGGAAAACTCCGAAATAAAGGGATTGTTTCAACTTTCAGAAATCGAAATAACACTCGTTTCTGCATTTCATTTGGGCTTCTGAACGTTCCACATTTACTTATGAACTAAAAAAATCACCATAAAAATTAGTAACTAGGTAAGTTTAACTGAGCTTATGTGTAATTACTTTACAGACGGGGCCCTATAGGGCTGATGTTCAGCCAGGGTTTCGGGGTAAGCACAAAGAGGCACCGCGCCCTTTTTTTAATAACAAGAAATAACATACCAATTACTAAATATAAGTAGATCTGTTTAAATGGATTCGTAATTAGAGAACGGCGCCACCCATGGGCATCCGCAAAAAGGAGTGCCTAGGAGTGCCTTGCAAGCCTTTTGGAGATTTGGGTTTGGGGGAGTGGAACGAGGACTGGGCGGTTACCTCACTCATGCGGCGAAACACAACGCTCGGTATCACTCCGGTATAGCCAGGTCGGCTCTCCGTGCTGAAGCATGCCTTTCCCAAAATGTATTATTGTTATTATCAGTATACTGACCTCATTAACATCTTTCTTCTCAGCCACAAGTCCGTGTTTCTTTAAAGAAGCGAAGTCATCCACGGTAAGTTCATTTGCGTCTTCTTCATAGAACGATTCACAATCCAAGCGTATAGAATGTTCAGCTGAGGTGAAACTCTCGAAAGGATTCAGTTGGAAATCACCTCCACTCATTGTCATATCCTGAATAGTTTGATTTATTTGTTCTATTGACTCGTGTGTTCTGCAAATATGAGGATTGAGATTTTAATAGATTCATCCTATCATAATTACCTTAAAAAATAAATATTAACACTAGGACTTACATACAAGAATAGCTACAGTCACACACACATTTATTTGACTTCTTTCCCCCTCCCTCTTCTCCCCCACCCTTTTTTTGTCAGGGGAAAATCGTGCAATGACTTCTCCCACCCAGGGTAAGGCGAGAGAGAGTGTCAGACTCTTTCTGACTAAAAACCCCCCGTTCCTTCTCCTGCTCTGGGCCGAGGCCACGGTGCCTCATTGCGCTTACCCCGCAACCCCGGCTGAACATCAGCCCTTTAGGGCCCTGTCTGTGGTGGTCAATTGGCTCTTTGTGGCGCGCGCGGAACGCTACGCGCCTTACGCTCGGGCCCCTCCCCCACCCTTAATTCTCAAATCCCCTAACCTGTAATCCCTAATAACCCACAAGAGGTCGGCAAAGCACTTGTAGTAACTTTTTTGGTACTGAATAAGTTTAGAAAAACCAAGAATACTCATAATTGTTTTACCTGGCCATGGAATTGCATCCAAGACTCCTTGCCAATAAGGTACTCTTAATTCTCATGGCCATTCTAACCCAAAATAAAATCCTTTCATACATCAAAACTAATAATGATATTATATAGGTATATAATATACAAAATGGCTTTTGCTTTCCACTCGGTGTGTGTGGGCAAAAAAAGAAAAAAAAATACTAACTAATCCTTTTTCTGTATTTACAAGTATACCCCTAATATTCTATTCTCCCGTTTCAAGATAATTAAAATCTTCCTTTAAAAACGTAAGCACAAACCTTGCATCACTGTTCCAAATACCGGCTATGAAGAAGGAATGTTCTAACAAAGACATGACTCGTGTATATTCCCACATAGTCTTCTCAGTACCAACTTGAGCGACCAATGATAACGCTTGTGGTGGACTGGACCGAAGATTCTTCAATACTTTTGCAGCTTGAGAGTGCCCTCGTGATAATTTGAGGACAAGCTTCGAAAGATACGTTTTGTTGTTGGCGTCAATCTGCATTTAAAAAAGGAATTTGTATTAAAACGATTGTTACTAGTCCTCAAAAGCAATTCTTTATTTGCATTATCATCATCAGCCTATAAGTGCCCACTGCTGAGCAAAGGCCTCTTCTCATACAGAAAAGGTTAGAGCATTAATCACCAGGCTTGCTCAATGAAGGTTGGCGATTTCAAATTTATAATTAGAAATTATAAATGCGGGTTGGCGATTTCAAATGTATAATTAGAAATTATAAGTCCAGGTTTCCTCACGATGTTTACCTTCACCGTATGTCAGTGGTGTCTAAATAATCTTAGAATATTTAGACATCACTTTATTTGCATGTTAAGGTAATATAGGTACTAGGGTCTTAAATGAAATAACAGGCACATCTTAAAGGCCTTTGCACAGGCGTTGCAAATTTGAGGATGATACTTACGAATGGTCTTATTTTTCCTGAAGATATAAACTTAAGAGCTTGGATCAGTAATGTTATTAATTCCTCAGCTGTCTCACAATCTGCAAAAAAAAACAAAGAATTGTCGCGAATGCACCATACAACGTATTTTTTATGGAATAGGAGGCAAACGAATGATTTGCGCTGCACATGGACATCTGCGGTACCAGACGAGCCACAGGCGCGTTGCCGGCGTTTTAAATCCGCTTGTTTCTTAAACTTTTGAATGTCGTATCGGTTGGGAAATACCGCCGTCGAAAGATCATTCCTATAATTTAATTAATTCGAGTTACGACGAGACGTTTCAATACAATAAAATATTGAAAAATCACTACAAACTAACTACTAAACGTTTTAGATATTTAATAACTAATTATTAAGAAAGAAGTAAGCTATTTGACCCAAAAATAATATGACGCCATAACTCAGTTTTTCATACAAATTTCATAGAAAAGTATCGTTTTTGACATTTGAATAAAAGTATTGAATTTGATTAGTTAGAAACTACCGTATTTGTCTTAACATACTTTCATAAATAAATAATTATACCAAACTCCTTAATTATGTGACTTACCTCTCAATATATCCCAGAGTTTATAAGTAAAATCGTTAGAGGACCCAATAGTGTTCATATCATTGAGACATTGACCTAGTGTAGTAGTGTCTTCCGTCACACAAATGCATCCACCGGCGGGACATTCCGCGGTATACGCATATGTCTCAGTCTCGTTCAAAAGTTCATTGACACGTTTCGAGTTGCTGTAGCGTCTTGCGCCTGGGATGTTGTTTCTGGAATTAGTTGAAGATAAGATATAGTTAGAGAGAAAAATGTCTTTAATAACCAAATTTTGGGAACTTTTTTGTTGACGTAATGTCGGGTATAAGCTTTTTTATGGGATAGGATTTTTAAGGATTAAGTGTTTGAGAGCCAAGCTTCGGCACGAATGGGTCGGGTCGACCGTGGTAATACCATGGCCTCACGGAATACCTCCGTGAAATAACTCACAGTGTTGTGTTTCACCGTGTGAGTGAGGTTACCGGACCAATCCCTTCCCTTTCCCCATCCCTTCCCATTCCTTATATCCGCAAACCCCTATCCCCAAAAGGCCGGCAACGCACACGTAACTCCTTTGGTGTTGCGGGTGTCCATGGGCGGCGCTGATTGCTTACCATCAGGTAATCCGTGTGCTAGTTTGCCGACATATACCACAAAAAAAAAATAGGACAACGAGCAATTGAATTGCCTGATGGTAAGCAATCGGCGCTGCTTGCAAACACCCTACGCCAAAGGAGTTACGAGTTCGTTGCCGGCCTTTCGGGGATAAGGGTTTCGGATGAAAGTAAAGATGGATTGGGTCTCCGGTTACCTCACACGGCAAAACACAAAGCTGTGTTTGTATCACGCTGGTATTCTTCGAGGCCGTGGTATCTCCGGTCGAGCCGGCCCATTCGTAGTGAAACATGGCTCTTTTAAAACTATAATACAACTGTTTAATTACCTGATTGAAGCTGTTTCTAGATTGACAGACGAATATCCCGCAGCAGTCATGTCGACTAGAAGCTGGTTCATATTGTGTAGTGCACACACAGAACGCCAGATGGCGTTACATGGACTTGCTAAGTGACCAACTATGATCTCTTGCTCCTGAAAGTTATACAAACTATATTATTATTCACTCTAAATTGATAGCATATATATTTAACAAAGGAAGAATCAAATTACCGTAATAATGCATAGGTATAGTAATTTAATATGTATTTCATAAATATTTTCAGTAATATTTTTTAAAAGTGAGGCATACATATAATCTAAAAACAATAACAACATCCTTAGGTTTCATGTGTATAAGTGAGGTCACCAAAGGCTCTTCTGATCCTACCTCCGCTCTAAACTCTCTAATCTAAAAATTTCTAACACCCGAAAGCCTAACGACGTTGTCTGTCGGCGGTGCCAATTGAACTTGAACCCATAAACAGCTTGAACCCATAAAAAAATGACTTGAGTATGCAACACTGAATAGGTCATCTTACAATAAAGTAAGGTTTAATCCCTAGATTTTCAATTAGACAAAAACACAAATTTTGGGTTTTACTTAAAATCAAAATAACAGTACTTACAAAATTAACTTTGCAACTGATGTAAGGTGTGTGCAGAGTTTTCCCTGACCATTCACATCTTAATTCTGTGACACCGCCATGAGGAGCATTGACCAACTCATCAGTATTATATGAAGCATATGATATACCGGAGACTAAGTACTTGCAGTCAACTAAAGTTGTAATCTGAAATATTGGGAATAAATAAAGATATTTTTTTTATTTTATTTAAAACTTCATGCACTATGGGTACATAGGCGGACTTAATGCCTTAGGCATTTCTACCAGACGAGCCTTGGGTAAGCAGAGATGAGCCAATGGTTGGTGCAAGAAGCAAGTGAATAGACTTAATTTTACATGATACATACAACATAAATTAAATTATAGTTTGTAGTTGTGCTAAAGATAAAGGATAAAGGAACTATGTAGACTGATAAAAAAGCTTTTATCCACACTTTTTAACATTGTTATAGGTTTCAAATAAATTATCATAAATCCTAACTAATATTATAAATGCGAAAGTAACTCTGTCTGTCTGTCTGTCTGTCTGTTACGCTTTCCCGCTTAAACCTCGAAACCGATTTTAATGAAATTTGGTACAGACAATCTTTAGACCCTGAGACAGAACATAGGATCGAAAAACAGGGATAAAGGGGTTGAAATAGGGGTTAAAAGTTTGTATGGGATTTCGTAATTTTTAAAGATAAAACCATAAAACTTAGTATTTAAGCACTTGATAAGAAAATATGAAATATTTGTTCTAGCATTTTTGAAATTTCGACCAGCTAGGGGGTGAAATAAGGGTTGAAAGTTAGTATGCAATTTCGTCAAATATCACGTCATAAGAAACAAAAAATCGTTTGTACTAGCATTTTGAAAATTTTATTAGTGTATATGTAGTATGGATATGTAGTGAAATAGGGGATGAATTGAAGATAAGATCCGGAACGGATTCGGAACGGGATCTACAAAGCCAACCTTTATGTAGGTAAGTATACGAAATCTTAACTATTGAACCTAGGAACATGTAATTTAGAAGTTTTGGATGTATCAAGTTACAAAATACTTTCGAAGTATAAATTCCTTTTAATAAACACTCTGCATCGCCGTCGCTGCCGTCGGCGTCGCGCACATTTGCCGAAGTGCAGCTCGGCGCTGTTGTGTGGTGGGGAAGCGCATGAATCTAACTGGTAGACATACCCGAACGGACAGACACGTGAGGACAGAGGTCGTTGTCGGGTGCGATAAGAGAAATTTGCGCTTTAGAGAATTACATTTTTCGAACCAGTAAAATTATTTTATTGTTTCGTCTAACTTTTTAAGTGTTTTTTTATTCATTGGATCTTTTATTTTTTTTTTATTACTTAATATTACTTAATATTTCTTTTAGTTCATAGTTACAACGTTATAAGTAGGTAAGATAGTTTCCGTTACTTTAAATAAATACGATTTGCATTTATTTCCTTTTTTATTCAATTAATCTAATAGCATCATACTTTTTTGCATTGGTTGTAAATGAGTACTTATGCAAGTAGGTGCAGGAAGGGTGAACAAAGCTTTTTTAATATAATAAATCTTAATCTGTACATCTGTTTTGTTCGATTCATTTCATTTTTGTTGTTCTACGATGCCTCGCAAACGAAAGTCCAATTTAGCTAAAAGCTCTAGCAGAGTTCGGGCTGCTAAACTTGCCAGATCACTGGAATGAGACTTCTCAACAGACCCAAGCTCACCAAGCCATTGATGCCGAGCGTCACGCGGCTCAAAGAGCTGCTGAGACGTCTCAACTGTCCCAAGCTCGCCAAATCATTGATGCAAAGCGTCACACGGATCAAAGAGCTGCTGAGACTTCTCAAAAGACCCAAGCTCACCAAATCTTAGATGCTGAGCGTCAAGCTTCGTACATAGCCGCAGAGACCTCCGAAGAAACACGTAGATGACGTTTAATTAATGCCGAGCGGCAAGCAGAAAGGAGACGTACGTTTACGATGAATACGTGGGAGGTATTTGCCGATGCTGCTTTTAATTATGATCTGTTACTTAATTACTTTAATCATCGATTAGTCCTCATAGGTAGAATGGCCATTAAATGCAGACACTGTGAGGCACTCAAGTGGAAAGAAGAGACCCTAGGTATGTGCTGTTCTGGAGGCAAAGTATCAGTACCAACCCTTGGTGACCCCGATTAACGACAGAAGAAAGGACAGCAATGAATCTCGGCGATTTTTCCTGTCATCATGCCTGGATTTTCACCCACATTTACGGTACAAGGGCAAGTTTATCATAGGATTGGTTCTTTGCTTTCCACAAACAATAGTCAACCAAAATTTCTACTGATTGATTTTATGGGAGACGAAAACAGCGAGGTTGACCGTTGATGGCAAAATATTGAAGGAGTCGAGAGGGACATTTTTTTAAAAATTCAAAGAATGTTACACGAACATAATAACCTCATTAACACCTTCAAAACAGCCTTAGAAAAAATGCCACGTGAAAATCACAAATTGGTAATACTCGGAGATCGTACGCCAAGCGGGGAACATGAAAGACGTTATAATGCACCCTTAATAAACGAAGTCGCTGCCATGGTGTGTGGTGAACAGTTCGCATCGCGCGATATTGTTTTTCAAACCCATGATAACACATTGATCAGGGTGTCCGACACTCACAAGTTTTATGACGCACTACAATACCCGCTTATGTTTAGCAATGAGCAAGAGGGGTACCGTTTTCAAATTCCACAAGAAGTGTGGAATTTGAATGGTACTCCTGGGCTGGCCCCTGTAAGAGTCTCTTAGACATAAGGGACCAGGATTGACAAAAACTAATTTGACGCGGGCGAAGCCGCGGGCGGAAGCTAGTTAAATATATATATCTAATACATTTTTTTTTTGGAAGGGCAAAATACTACCCAATTGTTGTTTTGGGTCTGGGTGGTGTTTTCCTTACATGATGTGTATAGATATAAAATTGTATGTTCGTAAACAATTACACATACTAGTGAACATCACTCAAAACACTCAAAAACAAATACTCACCAAATCCGCACTCAACCCCTCTAACTTAGCATATTCTTCGACTAACAGATCTAGATCAACATCATCCTGATTCATATTACCCTCATATGTTACTATTCCTCTTGCAAAGTGCGTACTATCAGATTGCACAGTTACTAATAAAGGTTTGTTATCTTCTTCTGGATTGGTTAATATCCAAAGAGGTACAGCATCTTCAGTAGTCACTTGGTCTCGGTTCTTGTTGTACAGATTTGCAATTTGTCTGAAACATTTTTTTTATTTATGAATTTAATGAAGAATGTAAAATTAAACACTTTCATTTATAGTTATATGAAATGCTTAGCAGAAATATGATTATAATGTTCCAGGCTCACTACCACATTATGAACTATAAAATCCTGCCTGCAATTTTGTACCCAAACCTTGGTATATTATACTCTTAAATATTCTTCTTGAATCATTCCTAATGTTGATAAAAAAAACTGCATTAAAACCTATCACATAGTGTTAAAAGATCTCAGCATAAATAAAATATAAGGATAGACAGGCGGGGCAATGCAACTTTGTTTTACACTATACTGTGAATAGTGATTAAAGCTACTATTGAGCAGTTTTACTAGCTGTTTGACCCCTATTAGCTGTAGAATAATGATTTATAGCTCCTATACTAGTATAAATAAATAGATGGACATACAAACCAAAAATGAATGTTTGTTCCAATTTCCAGTTGTTCGGAAGCAATTAAAAAAACAACCTCTTGAGCTTTATGAATAGTATAGTTATGAATAATGTTATTATAAACTGTATATAAAATTAATTTTATGAATGCAATGTAATTTTACAGCAAAAGCTCCATTTTTTTTTACTTATTAATTAACCACTTTTCTTCATTGATCAAAAGAGGTTTTTGTTAGTAGTAGGTATAAAATTTCTTGGATAATTTATCAAACAACTCACCTAGCTATATCCAGACTAATTGGGCTATGAGTACCTTCCTCCTTGCTCCACAGTTGAGGCTCATCAGTCATCATGGTGTCATCTAGTACTGTGTGTAGACTAAGGTCTAGCTTAAGCGGAGATCCTGTTAGCTCTAGTTCTTCTGTAAATAAAATAAATTTGTTGGAATTGGAATATTCAGTACTTATGTAGCTTTAGTTCTGTATTTGTTTTCCTATTTGCTGTCTGTGTGAAATGCTTAAGTATGTGAAATAAAGAGAGATTAAAAAAATATGTTACCTTTCTTTTTGCTCTTAAGTACATAGTTAGTAATTCCATTCTTATTGGATTCATAACAACAATAAAGAGGCAAAAAAATTACGCCTGTCTTCATTTTTCTAAACGGATAAGAAACATAGGAAAAGTCTTTTTACAATCAAAATTGATATGAGATGAAATTTTTACACACCTGCCTCATTTCGATTGTCTTTAATCGCATTTTCCGATATGTAGGTGGTTTGTTTGGCCTGTAACACAAACTCTTTCAAATTATCACGTTATTCAAGGAAGAATAAACGAAATAATGATTGCTCTTTAAGTTTTTACCTTGTTACAAACCAGCACGATATCTCTATTAGTTTTTGTGTACATTTCCACATAACTAGGGCTTTTCTGTTTTTCAATATAATATTTAGGATAACTGTCTATTACAGGTTTTAATATGATATCCATTATGAATTGAATTTAAGTGTAATTAAATAAATGTACAGAACAAACGAAAGATTATCCGTTGTTTTCGTTTCTCAATTTGAAATATTTGAATTTAGAACACTTGTCATAATGTGACATTGACATTTGGACCACAGTATTGCCAGATTGAATTTTAGCTTTATGCTTTACTTTATATCTTAATTTTGATTTAACGGAAGTCAGCTTTACGCAACGAATTACGCAAATGTTTGTTTATTACTAAAGAATAAAAAATGTTTTAATATTTAATTAGGTACTTTCAATGTACACGATTTCGTTGTTATTTCGGTTCTAATAAATTCAAAACCGTGACTTGGATATGAAGGCTGCTTAAATTCGAACATAGATGGCGTTAGCACCTACTATTCTTGGTTGAATTCATACGATACTTTTATTTCATGTTTATATCTGTTTCTCGTTTGTTTTACAAGACAACGAAATACAATATTGCGAAGCCTTGACGTACCCACCTTAGTTGTCTAACCGACTTTGAAAAAAAAAGTATTTACGACATGATCGATCGCGTTTATCTCGCTTTTTGATGAAGGTTTGAAGAAGTGTTAGGTATAATATAGTATTTCAACCGAATTAAAAAAGAGGCATTTTTTCAGCCTGTTTTTATTTACGACACTTTTTAGCAACGTTTTGTTGTGTGAAGTTGCTAGGTGTTACCTACTATGTACACAGTTATAATAGATATGAATTGGTCTGAGTTCACCACAGTTTGCACGGTTGGTGCGGTGGCTGGGCAACTGAACTGCCTGCCGTGCAACGTGTCGCGGGTTCGATTCCCGCAAGGAACAACTCTTTGTGTGATCCACAAATTGTTGTTCCGTGCCTGGGTGTCATGTGCACGTGAAATTGTATTTTTGTAACCGCACCCATGACACAGGAGAAAACCCTAGTGTGGGGCAACGATTAAAAAAAATGTATAATAGATACCTAAGTCAAAACCTCAGAAACAAAAGAAAGTAGGTACACATAAACGCTCCGGAGTTTATTAATGCTTATTACGTTCTCCGTGTGTGTGTGACAAAAAAAAGGTACCTAAGTACTTACATTCATCTGTTACACATATTTTCTATTCATATTATCATCACATCATCATCAGTCTATAAAAATAAATGCTTACCTACTGCTGAGCAAAGGCATCTTCTCGCACGGAGTCTCACGAAAAGGTTTAACCATCAACACCACCCTTACTCACGGCGTATTGGCGATTTCAAACTTATAATTGGAAATTATGAGTCCAGTTTTCGTCACGATGTTTTCCTTCATCGTAAGTCATATACATTATATGTATTATAACCATAGAAAGTAGGTACATACTTGTCTTTAACTCGGAAAACGTCAGATTGGTCCTTGTTAGGTTTGAAAACCGCACCCGCATCCATGAGAAGCGGGCGCCTTAACCTCCGGGCCACCACAACATTAGAATAAAATGAGTTTCTATCGAGACATGGTTAAAGCCGAACTTAAATCAGTCAAATCTACCAAGAAAATTCATTTCCTAGCTATAATTTAATAATTGTTCAAATATTTGAAGTAGGTAGGTACCTACCACATAATTTCTTAGATACCTAAATAGGTAACAATCAATAGTGGTATAAGTATAATGAAACAACTAAGTACCTACCTATTGCAGGATGTTAATAAATATCAAAATAAAAATAAAAACAAACAAATCAAGATGGAATCTTAAAATAAACGTAAGAGGACATAAATAATGTAAAATGATTTGGACCAATTTTGTGATTGGTTTATTGATATTGACATTACATGTTTTTTTCATCTATACGTAAATAATTTTTGGAAAGTTGTTGTTGTTGTTATAATTTTTTTAAGAATATCGTTTGATTGTATGACATTTCGTACCTATTTCTTGGTAATTTATTTCTGTTGGAATGATAATTTTATGTTATTTTGTAGATACTTACTTATAGGTAACTCGGTAGGTATAATGGTAGATATTAGTAGGATTTTTTTTGACGGCGTATAGGTAATTTGCTGTCCATTTTTAACCGACTTCAAAAAAAGGAGGAGGTTCTCAATTCGATTGTGTTTTTTTTTATGTTTGTTACCTCAGAACTCCGTTGTTTATGGACGGATTTGCAAAATTTTTTTTATGCTTGAAAGGATATATTTCCAGATTGGTCCCATTCTTTTCAAAATCGAGGTGTATGTAATGTATTCCTACTTATATGACATTGGTAACTTTTTCAAAAGAAATGTAGGAACGATATTGACTTCGTTGCCATAGCACATTATAATAAAAAAAACACTAAACGGCAAGAAATAAAAAACAATTTTTACAAAAAAAAACCGCCTTCAAAAAAAGTCAAGCGATAAAAATGCTGTAAAGAAACTTAATTTATAGGTAAACTTATTTGACATAAACATTTGCAGATATTCAAAATTTATTACTTATTTTTGGAGTCGGTGCCAGCATTTTTATTGTTGAAACTTAATGTCAGTTAGCTTTTTAATATCCGGTGCCATTTTTCATACATCATGCTCCCCTCTTTGAGAAGTGGCCTAAGAGACGCTATGACTTCCTCGGCTTGACGCAGGTGCTTAACAGGCGCGGCAGCTTTGGTAGGGTCATGTTTCGGATCCGGCGGGAGGACACACCCGGGTGTCGTCATTGTGAAGACCACTCGGAGGACACGATGGAGCATACGGTAGCGTTGCGCCCGGTAAGCATCTGCGTCAGCGGCCCTGTTGGCCCCTGTCTGAGGTTGTCCACTGGCTGTCTTAGAGGTGCACGAGGAGCGCTACGCGCCTTACGCTCAATCAGGTGACGGGCTACCCTTACTCGCCATTCGCAGAAAGCTGGAGTGTCACTTACGGCGGTGGTTGGGGCGTGAGGAGGATAACTCCCTCACACGCCCCGACTCCTTATTTGCAAGCATCACTATTTCGGCGAAGTAAGAGACGGCTTACCAGTTCCTCTTGCTCTACACCATGGTCTCGACTAAGGCTGGGCACAAGAGGACGCCGCCGCTGACCACTTATCTAAAGGCAGCTTAGTCCAAGCAGAGCATGCGATGCGATGCAATGCCATATCTACAAGAATATTAATTTATAAGCGATTATTGCTATATGTTACGTCATAACAGAAAGCTCGAGCCGTCTGCTGATTAGAGCTGCTGGTAACAAAAAGTTGCAGAGAAAGTATATTGTGTGTAATAATGCCCACTAAAATGGTGAAGAAATATAATATTAGCATTGCACCCGTGCGAGGTGGGGGCAGGTAGCCAGTTAGATAATAATATTTATGTAGTCTCAGTAAGTGCTACGGGTAGGTTGATATGTACATTGATGGGTCATCATCATCATCAGCCTATAAGTACCCCACTGCTGAGCAAAGGCCTCTTCTTATACGGGAAGCTTAGAGCATTAATCACCACGCTTGCTCAATGCGGGTTGGCGATTTCAAACTTATAATTAGAAATTATAAGTCCAGGTTTCCTCATGATCACCTTAACCGTATGTCAGTGGTGTCTAAATAATCACATTGGTACTTGCCAGGTTTCGAATCCACACCCTCATGCATGAGAAGTGGGCCTCTTAACCTACCGGCCACCACGACATTTTACATATACTGATGGGTAGCGGAAGTATTTTTAAATTTGTATTTTACTGACGTATTTTTCAAAAGCCCACACAGCACAGGCATAGAATTACTCCATACCTTTTCAAGAGCTATCGATAGTTACCGTTATTTTAAAATGAAACCACTCATATGAAGTACGACAGCAAATCATGCTACATACACCAATATAAAATGACCTTGTTACCTTGAAATTTGTTGTGAAATGTGAGGTCATGTTACAATAGACAAGTATAACTTATTTTGCGGTTGATCGTTTGTGTGATCAAGTACCGATAGGTATAGATTTAAAATGTTCGTTTGTAGTGGTGATACATGACTTAGTTGTATATGGGCGATTAGCCACACGATGGACGTTTTGTAGAACCTTTTGAAAGAGTATCAATCCATGACATTGTAATATTATATTTTACGGTCCGTTACATTTTTTCCTTTGATGTCGATAGGTATTCTAATTTTAGTTTTTATATTTGTTTGATTAAGCAGTAAGAGGTTTGGAAATTGATGCTAGGGCCAAGTACTCTTAGGTCTTCTGTGGGATGTTTGATTTAAAACATGGAAATAATTGGTAACCGGTAAAAGAAACATTCCTGTTCCTAACAACTATTGACCATCAACTAGAGAAGTTGAGACTTGCCTGAAAAAATAACCCTTTTTGAGGGAGGATTTTTTTAAATTTAGTTCTTCCTCCCTGAGTAGTGCTAGAGGACTTACTGGTACAAAACCACTCCATTCTTTCTCTTTTTCCGATGTAGGTCGTGGTACATCATTACGCTTGGCAAACCTGGACATCAGCTTTAGTAGGCCGCATGTGTGGAGGTCTGATGATTCAGACCTGAGAGAGAGACAGAGACAGAGAGTGGCTGTTCACCCGCGTCTGGCTCTGTTTAGGATTTAATGTACCCGTAAAAATTATGAAAAATATCTAGTTTTGATTCCGCGACAAAAACTCCAGGCTCATTGCAGGATGTAATCCAAACCTATGCACAAGCAGCAAAGGAACATGCATATGCACACGTGCAAAAAACGGAAAAAACATGCCACGCAATCAAACCTATATTCGACGTGTTTCACCCCTCCGTAGGGCATCTTTAGGAGTCTCCTAGGATACCATGTGGAGTCTCCTGAGGATGCCTAGAGTTTATATTAAATATACACCAAATAATTTGTTGTTAAGAGTGTAGCTTGAGCTAATATCCCTTAAAAGACCAGTAACGAATCTGCCTACGGGCTGACATTCATTATTTACCATCAGGTGATCCGTCTGTTCATTTGCCCTTTCTTTAAATGGTCTTGCGTGTTTGGTCCGTATCTGGCCTGATGGTCAGCGATGACGGGACTTACGATGGAGCACGCCTACCCAAAAGCA